AACTAGCTTCACACCTCCGACCTGCCAATCTCCTCCCCATCTCCACCAGAGCTCACGGTGACTTCTCAGCCACATGGCACACAGGCATTTATAGATACCCACGGTGTGTGCGGGGAAGCCCTGTTGCCATCGAGCTTACTCAACATGGAGGCGTCATCATCCGAATCCACGAGGAGCGCGTGGAACCCCTGCGTGGGGACTCAGGAGGGAGATGCTAGGGAGCTGCCACAGAAAAGAAACCTGCAAGGGCTGGGGGCGAAGGGGCTGCGAGGAGTAGCTGGAGCGCAGGGGACAATGAGGGGCCAGGAGCTCCACAGGGAGGCTTCCGGGAGGGAGGCAGGGACAGGTGTGGATCGGCCCGTCCCACTGGAAAGGTCTGCTCATTCTCCAAGGACGATGCAATGTTTATAAAACTCAGGATGAGGCTGGGCGTGGTGGCCACGCCTGTGATCCCAGCACTTTGGGAGGCCGAGGCGGTGGATGACCTGAGGGAAGGAGTTTGAGACCATCCTGGCCAATATGGTGAAACCCCATCTCTACTAAAAATACAAAAGAATAAGCTGGATGTGTTGGCGTGTGCCTGTAATCCCAGCTACTCGGGAGGCTGTGGCTGGAGAATCTCCTGAACCTGAGAGGCGGAGGTTGCAGTGAGCTGAGATCAGACCACTGCACTCCAACCCCGGGGGAACAGAAAAAATAAAAATTAAAAAAAGCTCGGGATGAGCTTGACTCACGATGACAGAAGGAGCAATCAGGGAGGCAATGTTAGCTGTTACGGGCTGAGTTATATCCCCCATCAACCACCACCAAATCCTAACCTCCAGGACCTCAGAATGTGATTGTGTGAAAAAGGTGACGAAGTTGAAGTAGACTTGAAGGTAAGAAAAAATAAAAAAAGAAGAAGAAAAGAAGGTTAAAAGAAAAACAGAGGTGACGAAGTTAAAACGAGGTCATGACCTTGCACCCTAATTCACTATGACCGGTGTCCCTATCAGAAAAGGAGATGAGGACTGCAGACACACACACAGGGAAGACCAGGTGAGGACACAGGGAGAAGGCAGCCATCAGCAAGGCAAGGACGGTGGCCTCGGGAGAAACCGACCCTGCCCACATCTTCGGACTTCCAGCCTCCAGAACTATGAGAACATCAATTTCTGTTGTTTAAGCCCAGTCCGTGGAACTTACTTACAGCAGCCCTAGCAAACTATACAGTAGCATTAAAATATGACCGCAGCAACTGGTCTTCTTTTAAGATCTTACAACAAAATTACTATCATTTACATTTCACAACTATTTTGGTTGCCTGGCATCTACTTATTCAGAGTTTATTTCAGAGCTGCTGCTCCCTGATTTATCCTTTCTCATGGTTCTTCCCTAATTCTGTTCCCACTGTGTATTCCGTGCCTTTTCCTGAAATGCTGCTGCTCTGGGTTCGTTAGCTGTCTTTTGTTTCTGTTGCTGGCTGACAAGCTTAACACCTGCGACAAAGCTGAACTGACGTTTTTAAATAACTAATGCAATTCAAAAAACTGCAGCTAAAGGATATTTAGTTTTTACATTCATGTGTCTTCACAAACCCACAAAAATCTTTAAATCGTGGAAACTTACCCTTTCTAAGTCATCAAGCTTATTCTCTTACCTTTAAGCCAGACCTCTCTCTCTTTAAACTACCTTAGGAAATGAGAATTTCTCCTATTTAAAAAGTAATTCCAGGGAGGGAGATTCCACAACTTTCCTGAGCAAGACATTACAAGTCTTATTGGATGAGTCAAGTAATCCAACACCCAACCCAGGACTGTGCCTGACTCAGCCAGGCGGGACTTTCTTATTTCTCTCCTTCGAAATGATGCAATAATTTGCCGTGGAAGACTACACCAGAAGCAAACAGCAAATGCGGACTGTGAAGAGTCCTTTATATAACGGTGGTGGTTGTGTTAAGGGCAGGTACTATGCCAAGTATATATGTATTGGTATCGAATATGTGATTTCCATCATTATTCATGCACATTTAACTTAAGAAACTGAGATGAAAGAATGAAACAGCACAGGAGGAGAAATAATGTGCAGAACACAATTTGGAGTAATGAAGAGAAAAATGAGACCAAGAGCATCGAGGGACAGGCCAGAAAGAAGTACCAGAATGCTTGGCCAGTGTTGCATAGCTGAGGACAACAAGCTTCAGTACAGCAGTAGGGTGGCTGTGGATGGAAGACCTTCTTGATGGGATGGCTTCCCTAGGAAGGGACTCATGCTTGTTAGAACCATGTTCTGGTCATTGACTCCTTTAACCAACATTCACGGAATGTCGGTTAGGTACCAGAAATTGTGTTGAACATAATACAGGTCAGGGAAGGCTCTGTGTTAATGTCTTTATCTGGAATTAGGAAAAGAAGTGGAAGAAGACGAAGAGGAGAAGGTGAAGGAGGAGGAAGAGGACGGAGAGAAACCTTTTCTGTATGTTTGGTATTTCACATGATGCAGTTCAGGTTCCTTGGGAAACAGAATCTGAGATTCTGAGACGTGCCTGCAGGGTATTCACTGGGGAACACTCTTGGACATCTACGAGAGGGAGAAAGGGAGCAGGGTTGAGGCGGGGAGGCTAAGTGCTGTACAGTTGAATGTAATCAGCTGATCCCTTGAGGAGCTCTGAGCTAAGCTGCTCCTTCAGAGCCATCCTGGAGCGCAGCCTTTGCCCCCCATATTGGTTGCCAGTTGTTGCATGCAGCAACCCCAGGGAGGGCCTAAACCGTGGTGGAGGCAGCTCCCTTCTGCTGAGTGCAACTCTGGGAGGGAGCTCAGCTTTGCACCATCAGCAGCCAACACTCTTTCTGATTGCTTGAGGCTGAGTACCTCAGAGCTGGGAGGTATGAGGATCTGGGTGCCTTATCACAGTATCCACTACGCATGAGAAAACTGAGGCACAGAGAAGGCAGGCAACTCATTCAAAATCACACAGCAAGTCAGCACAGCCAGTGTTCTGGCTTCAGAAGCCGGGCCTTCAATCACTCATCTCTACACTGCATCCAAAGGACCTACCGAAATGCTGTCATAGTTGCTCAATAACTTATAGCCGCTTTATTTCGGGTGCTGGTGGTGACTGTCACCTAGTTCTATTAGTCCTTACCCTTTCAGCTATCGAAGCACCTTTGTGAGGCAGAAATAGTCAAGTGTATTTGTGACTCCGTTGAGCTTAAGAGTGCTATAGATTACTTAAGGTTTGTCCCCCAAGTGTTGAAGTGGGAGCCATGCTATACATTCAACCCCATCATCTCACTGTTCACAGGCTACCTTGGAGTTTCGACCCGTCCAGGCCTCCCAGGTTCCCTGCTCCCCCAGCCCTGGGCCAGCAGTCCCGAAGACCTATGTGGTATTGCCGCTGTTGTCCTGAGAAATTTAGGGTGGTGACAATGGAGCTGCCTGGGGCTTGGGCAACTAATGAAAAGGGAGGGAAAGCTCACGCTTCTGCTGTTGAAGGGAATGTCAGGGATGCAGGGAGGGAGGGGCCGGCTCAGAATCTCCCCTGGAGATCCCAGTTATGCGGCCCCACCCCAACAGTGTTTCAGAAGGAAGTTCATCTTTAAAAAGAGGATGAATTCTGCAAGCCAACTTGTGGCTGCTGAGCCGTGCCCTAACCCCCACTAGCTCATATTCCCTGGGATCAGGGACAGTCCCTAGATGGAACTGGAGTGGACAGAGAGCAAGGGACGCAGCATTTGTGGAGGACTCAGGCACTGGATGGTCTGAGCCAACCTGAGCAGCCTGAGGACACGCACGGCACTGCCTTGTCTCCATGCCCAGCCTCTGGGGTTCCCCACTCTGCATGGTTGGCTGCTCTCTGCTGGAGCCTGCAGACTCTGTACCACCAGGACTGCCTGGTGCCTGCGGGCAGCTACAGCAGGGAAAGCAGAGGCTTGACAGTGCTTCTTTCCAGCCAGGAAGACAGGTCATGCAGCTCAGGGAGGGAGAAACAGCAGCCATGAAAGGTAAGGGGGTGAAAGACTCCTGCTGGCCTCCATCTACCACCAACCTAGGTGCTCAGTGAAGAGACTGATGTTCTACTAAATCACCCTTCTGCATCACCATCTCTACCCAGAGAAGTCACCTCCCCATCTTCTCTCCCCACCGTCCACCGCCTAACACCATGCTGATGCCTTTCTGAGCGCTTCCCATCTGTCCAATCATTTATTCCTCATGGCGGCCCTATGGTTAAGTACTATTTTTATTTCTATTTGACAAATGTGGAAATGGAAGACACAAAGAATTACCTAGCCCAGGATCTCAGGGCCAGTAAGCAGTGGGACTGAGGTACCATCCCAGAGAGCCAGGCCCAAAGATGGCAATTATAACCATTGTGAGACACTGCCTCTCCCTCCCAGCAGGGAATCAGTGGCCCCTTCTCTGAGGCCAGTTTACTCTCTTATTAGCCAGAGTCTCCTATTTGTACTCTCCTACCTTCATTCTCCTTAGTCAGAAATGATGGGTCACCCTGACCAATTCTCAGTGGTACCTTAGCCACTACCACCAATCCTGGAGTAACTCAGTGCCTCTCCTGTCTGCCTCCCCTTCAAGTCCCCTGGGATAGCTTCAAGGGGAACTGGGGCAATGCTCACAATGCCGACTAGTACCAATGTTGGCTTTGCTCTTACCAAGGGGACACAATTGATACTCAGCCAATTAGAAATTCAAGCTGTTTACAAGGAGGCGTGTAAATTTTCTGGTAAGCAGGATTGGATACTAACTTCCCCAAACTGAGGTAAAACAAATATAAGAATGTGACAGCAAGTTGTGAGACTTTTATGACTTCATAAACACAACCATCAATTAATTAGTCATGAATAAACACTAATCATTAGGAAACACAACCATTAATCAGCCTATGAGATCTCAAGAGCTAGACATTTTCAGGTCCAATTTCACCTTAAGCAACAAATTTGAAATTTATCATTAAATTGATCCTCTGAAATACACTGAACCCATCTTTACCAGTTGGGAAGCATTTCATTAAGTTACGCTTTCAAGATGACTCCTAATGGAGCTCAGAAAGAAGAAAATCACCACAGGTAGCCCCTGTCAGGTTATTGATGAAGGCCAGAAGATACCAGAAGTGGTGGACTGCTTGAGGGTGCAGAAAGGCTGAGGTCAAGTCAACATACCCAGTGGCAGCTTTTTGTTATGTGGGTATCCTGTGCCAGCCACTGTGCTGAATTCAAGGTAGAAATATAGACAGTGAGGGTTGGCAAGGACCTAGGAGGAAAAAACTCCTGTTTTGGAGCCAAAGTTTGATTGGAATGTTAAGACTCACGTGGCAGGGAGAGAGGAAGGAGTGAGAAAACAATACTGTACATAAATCAGCAGAGACTGAAAGATGCTGGGAAAATCAGAGAAAGGAAAAGGAAATTTGAGCGGCAGTTTATCAGCAAAGATGTGGGGGGAGTATATGTGATTCCCAGTGTTCTATGAAGGAAGCAATGTGGAGAGCGGTAAGTAGGCCTTTCTTTTAAGGAGAGAATATTGGGCAGAGAAGTGACAGCAGGAAGCCCAGGGACCAATATTGGTAAGATGCAGTTGTTTCTGCGGAAGAGGCCAGTCTTCTGGGGAGAGGGAACATGAAAGGCCAGGGGGGCAGGTGAGCTCCTTGACATTGGGTCCATGAGGCAGGAGGTTGCTGGCCACTGTGGTTTCCTGAGCAGCAGACCACACTTTTACATACAGGTCCTGGTATGAAAAATCAAACCAAACCCAGTGCTTTAAGAAGATTAATTTGGAATCTGAGTGGCTGGATTGGACCGTGAAAGGACAGTCAAGAGTTCATATGGTCATTCAGGTATGTCTAATAAGATCCTGGAATGGGAGAGATGGTAAGTTGAAGAAGAAGGGATGAAGTTAGTAAAAGGAAAAACTAATGGGATTTGGTAGCTGATCATCCAGGGATGCAAAATTAGGATTAACACTAAGAAATGAGAGGATCACTGACAAGATAAGAGACTTTTCTCACTCTTGGAAAATGAGGGCTCTTGGAAATGTAGGTGAGCTAGAATTTAAAAAAAGTCAGGATCAGTTTTGTGTGTGTGTGTACGAAGAAGTAAGGGAGCTGGTTAATGAGTGTGGTGATAAATCTATTTTTAGCCGTACATAGTGTGAGGCAGGACATTCATACTGGAATTGGATTTGATCAGAAAATCCATCCTGACTACAGACACACCTCCCTTTTAGTTGACCGTTTTTCATAGAAAGCCAATAGAGACACAAATCTTAGGGGGGTGTGTGTGTGTGTGTGTGTGTGTTGCTGTTATTGTTGTGGTTTACTGTGGTACTCTTAGTTCTACAAAAAGCATTCTTTGTTTTGTTTCTGTTTGTTTTTTTTTAAATAAAATTCCATGATTGAAACAAGCAGTGGGGGTCCAAAGTGGCTCCCACCGGAGGTCATGGCGCTCGCGAAGGCGAGGTCATCAGTTCAAGGCTAACCTGAGCAACCTCATAAAGCTCAAACTGGCAAGAAAAAAAAAAGAAACAAGCAGTCACCTTGACATTTTCAAACATGCTAGAGCTGTGTTCAGGGTTCCAGGTCCCTTCAGGCCTCTTTGGTTTAAAATATCTCCACTTTCACCTCCTTAGCATCTCAGAGTGTCACAATTTCTAACCACATACATTAATTATCTGCTTGTCAAATAAGGATTATGATTCTGAAATCGGCTGTTTATGTGGCAACCAAGATTTTAGTCAAAAACCTCAAACATTAATTCACATTCCCAAATGATTCCCCATTCTTAGCTTTTAACTTGAAAAGTTTTTTTTTTAACCTATCCCTCAAATATTTTTTGTAATCCGCTTTCCTCCCATTGATTCACACTTCATCAGAATGCAGTCAGCCGAGTTAGGAAGACAAGAAAGGATGAAGTCATAAGATTGGTTTTTAAATAGTTGAAAAATGTGTATTTGCCATTCAGTTGGGTGATCTGTCCTTTAAAATGGAGACCGAACCTATAAAAAATTGAGGTGGGAGCTGAACATGGCAAAATGTGTTTGCTTTTCTTAGATAAATCTGTTAGTCTGTGTGCGCTGTAAAATGGCATTATTCCTTCATTGGAAATTACACTTCCTACACAACATACGCCACTCTGCCTTCTCACAGACTTCCCCAAGCAAAGTTCAAAATGCCTGCATTTGTAGTTAATCCCACGGTGAAACCATTAGCATGGTCCCCTGTTTGAACTCATCTGAAAAGCGCTCCGAGATTTTTTTTTTTCCGAGAGAGCATTTAGCAGTGAGCCAGCACAGAAGCGTAACTATAGATAATTTCCAAATTGGGTTTATCAGAGCAAATTGTTAAGTAAATGAAAAACTCAAAACTCACAAACGGTGAAGAAGGAAGACAAACGATGACATTGTGTATTTAATAAAATCCAAGGTGATATGTGTAGCAGCACTGATATTCCAGAGAAATGGATAGGTTCCTGGTACGGCCATATGGACTCACCATATTAAGCAGCGTCACGTATTTCCACTTGCCACCATTTGCAAAGATTTTGGATTTCATTTCGTCTGTTTCATCCTGTGCGATATAATAATTGAGGAAAATATACCAACTCAGAACAAGGAAGTGGTATAGACATGTAAAAGTCTTCGTCATGGCTAGTGCTGACCCGGGCACTGTGGCTGTCTTGAGTGGCTTCTGGCGTCCTTCCGTGGGTCACAGCTGAAGTCCTACAGCAGGCTGGAGAGCTGTAAACCACACCCCTCTGGGGCTGAGAGTTCCAATGAAGGCTGAATTTTGCTCTCTTTTAAGCTCCTTTCCTGATAAACTTCGGAGGCAGGATTACTGCTGGGTTTCAGATGACTGCATTTATAGATAATCTGTAGATTTGCATACAATACACCATGTAGAGTTGAGAAAGGCAGGTAGCAATTCAAGAGCTGCACGTGAAGCTGTTTAACTAGGGCACTGGGGCAGGGGCATGGTTAAATGAAATACCAGGAAAATCGAAGGAAATACTGCCATGGCCGTACTCTCTTTTCTTTTCGTTTAGGCATAACAAAGAAGTTGCAACCTTATCTTTTGAGAAAAGGAGGAGCAGGTCGATAAACCAGATTATGGGTGTGTTTAGGGCATCAACAGTACAAAGTCTACAACAACCTTTGATCCTCCAGGGAGCAGCTCCAATGGTTTCTTTTTTGTTTTGCTTTTTTTTTTAAGGTTTTATCTCTACCCTAGAGACAGGGTTTTTCTAAGTTTTATCTCTACCCTAGAGAACCAAAAGTAACCTAGGGCTGTCCCAGACACTCTATTTGCATAGGCATTTCTGTGCCCTAGGAGGGAAGAAGCAGCATAGGAGGAGATCTGTGGCTACGACCCCAACATACCTGACTTTAGACATTGCTGGGAGAGGATAAGGGTCCCTGCTCTGCGATGAATAAGATGAGCCATGGCTGGGCTAGGCAGAGTGCAGGACTGGGCTCTGACTCAGGCCCCACAGAAGGGAACTGAGGAGTAACTGGAAGTGGATGCCTTATGACATTGCCAGCTTGTTTCCCTGGGCAACTGACTCTGAGGGGTGAGCAAATCCCTCTCAGAAAGGCTCCTGACACAGTTATGTAAATCTGTAACTGGTGCTTTTTAGTGACTTAACCATGGCTTAAAAGTACTAGGAGAAAGAACTGTAGGCTGGACAAGGAGGACAAAACAAAAACAAACCCACCTCCTAAGTCAACAGACTCCCAACATCAGGAATGGGAGATGGGAGGAGAGCAAGCCCGAGCTCGCCATGGAGGTCTGCATCGTAACCATGTTTTCATATGTTGGGGCTTTTATAACAACATCTCGTAAACTGGGAAGCTTGGAAACAACAGAAATTTATTTCTCAGTCCTGGAGGCTGGAAGTCCAAGATCAAGGTGCTGACAGAGTGCCTGGTGTTTATGAGGGTCAGTTTCCTGGTTCCTAAATAGTGCCTTCTGGCTGAGTCCTCACGTGGTAGAAGGGGCAGACAAGCTCCCGGGGGCCTCTTTTTAAGGACCTAATTACTTCCCTGAGCTCCCCACTCCTAATACCATCACCCCAGGAGTTAGAATTTCAACACAGGAATTTGCAGGGAACACAGACACGGCAGACCATAGCAAACCATTCCCAAAAGACAGGGGGATCTGGGAAATGGGTACATAAAACTCTGTACAAAACTCCACAGCCTGGGCTAAGTTGCAAATAATAACGGAAGCTAATACTTTTATAGAACTTACTGTTTGCTAAGCATTGTTCCAGTTGCTTTACACATATTTGCTGATTAACAGTCTAAATAACATTATCGAGGTAAGTATTATTATGTATTAAGTACGTTTTCAGATGAGGAAACTGAAGTCTGGTCTGCTGAAAGGATGGCAGAGCTGCCATCTGAACTCAACCAGTGTGATGGTTAACATTGAGTCTCAAAGTACTGTTCCTGGGTGTGTCTATGAGGGTGTTGCCAAAGGAGATTAACATTTGAGTCAGTGGATTGGGAGAAGAAAACTCACCCTCAATCTGGGTTGGCACCTTCTAATCAGCTGCCAGCAGGGATAAGGTAAAGCAGGCAGAGGAATGTGGAAGGACGAGCCTTGCTGAGTCTTCCGGCCTCCATCTTTCTCCTGTGCTCTCGGGATGCTTCCTGCCCTTGAGCATCGGACTCCAAGTTCTTCAGCTTTTGGACTCCTAGACATATACAGTGGTTGGCCAGGGGCTTTCGGGCCTTTGGCCACAAACTGAGGGCTGCACTGTTGGCTTCCCTAATTTTGAGGTTTTGAGGACTGATTCACCGCCGGCTTCCTTGCTCCTCAACTTGCAGGCAGCCTATTGTTGTGATTGTGTGTCAGTTCTCCTTAATAAATTCCCTCTCATAGATACATGCATCCTATTAGTTCTGTCCCTCTAGAGAACCCTAATACAACCAGTGTACCCACCTAGAAAGGAACAATGTTGCTCTTCACACTCTCGGACTCCTGCTTTGATATCTCTCCTCTCCCTACTGAGTCCCTTTTTTTCTTCTCTCCTCCCATCAGAAAATTTTCTCAGAAAGGGATTAGATATGTTTTGAAATGGTGCACATGTGAATGATGATGCTACATCTCCTAGACTGTTTTCACTTTGGACACCGTTGTAGCTTTAGTGGTTATATTCCTTTATACAAAAAATCTCAAGCCTAAGTCTGCAGATGGGTAAGGATAGAGGCAAAGGTGGGAAAGAAGGGGAAGACGAAGACCCGAATCTCTGAAATGTGTGTGTCCAAACCTGGATGCTGGCCTTTCACCACCTACATGATTTTTTCTATGGATCATCCTCAATGCCCACAGATGAGGCCTCTCATAAATATTGATGAAATTACTTAAATTTATTTGTAAGAGTTTTAGTGTTTTACATTAGGATCCAATGAATTGTTAGCATTTTAGTAAATAATATGTAGTATATGTATTTAAGGATTTTATAACATAATAATATTTTAATAAATATTAAAT